AACGAACGCTTTAATAACTGGGCTACCCGACCGTTCCATATGCTACAATGGAAGTGTTATGACATATTAAACTATGTGCATCTTGAACCCAGCACCAATGGAAAATATATTGACAATAAGTGTTCTTTATACCAAAACGTCTCTTGGCCTCGCGAGCAATTGATGATCCTGTGTGGGAATCTAGTGTTTCTGGGACCACACCAGTACTTGTGGGTGTCACCAAAATGGTAAACCTTTGAGCCCTGTGGCACCTCGGGCTTTTCTTTCAGATTATACTAGCACGGCGTGATATATCAGGATAAAAGTAGGTAGAAAGAGGCGTCTAACCCACTCACTCACTCTTCATCAACTCTGAGCCTCGTATAATTCGATTGCAGTTTGTGTCACCAGCATTTAAGCCGCTTAACTGAGGTTACCCTGATAATTATCGCTTTGTACGTTCTGCTATTGCTTAAAGGCGTAGAGAACATTAACAAATAGCGTTTGGGTTAGTGCTTGATTCTGTTCCACGTCATTGCAATACAGTGTGTACTAATCGATAATCTTAATTGTATCGGTCGGACTTAATTGAGCTCTCCAACTGATATAATTGGCCAATAATATGCAGGGGAACGCAAAGTCTCGAAAAGCAATCATTCTATTGACTAAGCATTCACGCATGTTTACTTTCAAACTAGCTCAGCTTGTGTCAATACAATAACATAGCCCCCATTCCAAATCTCATGGGGAACTTCTGTTGATAGTCACCGGCAGATGTGCTGGTTGCTCTCAGGGTGACCAAATTAATCAACATGATGGACTTCATTTCCGATGACACGTCTTCAGTATGCTTGCTCTGCTCAGTCAGGGACAACGTCCAATTTAACCATCTCCACTTAGTGTCTGATTACGATGGATTTGGGTTTCATTTTATGGCTTGAATACAAGTACTATATTGGACGCCGATAAGTGCAAACATAATTTATGAGTGGCCTCATTCATAGGGAAAATGACCTGTCACTTGAGGAGTAATAGTGTGTACACTCGTGGAATCTTTTTGAAGACCTTTTCTTGTCTCAGTTACATGATCAGAACCAGGGCGACGTGATCGATCACCTTATATATCCTAGCAACACTATGTATTTCCCCCATCGTGGCAACTGATGATAATTAATTTGATAATGTAACGTTATTTCTTCATAACAATTAAATGAATAATAACAGTTTTATTTGCTTGACGGATGCAACTTAATTAATTTAATGTCACATGTGCTCTCCACCAGTCAAGAGCTCCAGGAACAAATTACACAATTGCATTAGGTTGGTTCGGGAGGTAGTTCGCGCAGTCTGTCAATTGTATAACGTCTACAGTTATTATTTGATTGTTATGCTGGGATGTGTATCAAATTCCTCTGTTGGTGTTCAAAGAGCCTATGGGATAGTGTTATAATAAGGTTACTTGTCATTTATCAACAAGAGGGAAAGAACCCTCTCGCTCATGATACGAATTCTCCGCTAGAATACTACTGTACGATTCAGACATCATCATAATGTAGCATTAGTTTTAGTTTGGACCCTGAAAGACCAGTCAAGGGAATCATCAAAATGAAAGTTTGGATTGCTCTCAACAATATTCCAGCTATATGGAGGCGGTCTGTAAATAATCGAGTCTGAACCAGACAATACAGTGATCAACAGCATGAGCATCGATCTACTCAATTGGGATACCATGTCAACCAAGTCAGCGAGCCTGACCACCCGATCCCGTTAGTCGCCTCTTACGACAAGTATGGGTTACTGAAGACCAATTCAAACCCGGATCTTCACGGGTTTCAAAATTAAGTGCAATACTGTTACTCTTGGCGTTTCAAGACGCCGAGCATCAGAATCCTGAAGAATCAAGCTGAATTTAGTCAATACTTATTCACTTCCAGCAATGAAATCACTGCCTATGTTCTCCTAATCATCTTCTTTTTGTACCTGTATGAGCTATAGCTCTGGTCACCGAACTAGCCTCAAAGCAGTTTCGTTTCGTTTCAATAGTTTAAAAAAATCACTGCATCCGCTATCGTGTCATTGGATATGCTAATTCGCGTGCGTGCGTGCGTGTATGCGTGTGTGGCCGGCGAGAGACAATTTTGGTTCCCCACGATCCATCTTGAGTTTTAACAACATATCTGTTTTTTAAAATGTACCGTCACGATTTCTAAAACGTCTATTGTCCGTCAAAAATGGTATTTGGAGAATCGGGTTTTTAACCTTTATTTATTTACGTCAGTTGAGTGAGTGAGTGACTTTAGTTTTACGCCGCTTTTAGCAATATTCAAGCAATATCACGGCGGGGGACACCAGGAATGGGCTTCACACATTGTGCCCATGTTGGGAATTGAACCCGGGTTGGGCAAGCGAACGCCTTAACCACTAGGCTACCGCCCCCTTAATGACATCCCAAACTATGTGTCGTGTTATTGGTCTAAACAGGTACAAAGTTGATCAAGGTCGTCCCAATCGTAAATAAATCATGTTCTTATCAGATTATATCTCATATAACCATTACAAACATGAATATATAAACTTTGTAAAACACAATCTGGATAACCTGGGTTTCAGTAATGCATGGCAATCTCAAAACAGTTTCTCCACCCCACAAAAAAAGATCACATGAATAACAAGTACAAGAGAAACATACCTAATAATGTACTTCATATAAGTTTCAAATCCCAATATATTTGGAGACATAACTTAATAACAATAAATACAGACTTTTCGGACTTCAAAGGGAAAAGTAGATGGAACAAAATACCATCAGCATTTTGATTACGCCCATTGCACAACGCAAGAGACACCGGTGACGAGTTTCATTATGTTTTAATCTGTCATTGGTAAAAAAAACGTGATCAGGAGTAATGGTTGGGTTCAACTGGGAAATTACATTTTGTTCAGCTTTAATTACCTGACATTTGTTTGTGTTAAAGCCATGAGCCTAAATATAATTGAAAATGTATTTTTATGGCTGGAAAGCTGATGCATTGGGGTTTTTTTTAGAGTGTAGAGTTTATTTTGCGTAATTGGCCTTTACTTGTGAAAGAAAATGTCAATATATGTAAGTTTTTATCTTGAAATTCAGCTTCACATTTGAAATGCGTGAGTGATTGAGTTTAGTTTTACGCCTTACTCAGCACTATTCCAGCTATATGGCGGCGGTCTGTGATTAATCGAGTCTGTACCAGACAATCCAGTGATCAACAGCATCAGCATCGATCTACGCAACTGGGATACGATGACATGTGTCAACCAAGTCAGCGAGCCTGACCACCCGTTCCCGTTAGTCGCCTCTTACGACAAGCATGGGTTACTGAAGACCAGTTTTAACCCGGATGTTCACACTTGAAATGCGTTCAGCATGAATTATAAAGCAATGTAATCGCACGATGATAAATGCATTGAAAATAATAATATTTAACGCGAAAGGCGACTTGACTGACACAAGTCATTGTATCACGATTGCGTAGATCAGTGCTCATGCTGTTCATCACTGGATTGTCTAGTCCAGACTCGATTATTCAGTCTGCCGCCATATAGCTGGAATATTGCTGAGCGTTAATCAAAAACACAACAGCAAAAGGAAAACAAGAATGTGTGCGTGCGCGCTTGCATGCGTGGGTGCATGTCTGCTTCTTCTAGTCTAGATGATATACCATGCCGCACGTTTACGTGGATACCACCACTGAGAGATAACCCACATTATTCGGACTTCGAGCCGACCAGTCGTTGTTGTATAATCCAGAGCTCCAGGCAGTATTACATCAAATACCGACGTCTCCACAACACAACGGAGGCGGTTGACATCAGAGATAAACATCCATTACATATGCTAAAGCTTGGCATGAAAACGATATTGATACACTTTCAATCTCCAAAGTGCGGTGATGACGAAAGGGGACATAATCAATACTAAAAGATTACATAGAACCGCTAGCAAAGTAATTTAAGAATGCATATCGAAAACCCTGCGGAATCAACGCCAGCGATTATAAGGTGTCTTCTTTTCGTGCCAAGATTAATAAAGTCAGTGGAAATTGGAACCGGAGTGTAAAACAAAAGCATAAAAAGAAGCGCCATTTGGCATTCCATTAGCGCCTATTTTTACGTTGTTGACATTTTAGGACGTAAAATATGGCACCGTGACGTGATAAAAAATTGTTAATACGTTCTTGTCGTCTGAAAGGACGGAACGGATTACTGTAGATAATGAAAAACGCACGCAGCGAAATGCTGCCGGCGAAATTATACACATTGGACCCAGGATACGTGAAGTATAGATATCAGTGAACAATTTGTGATTCGATACTGACCTTTGTGTGAAATAAAACTTATTTTGAGTTTAGTTCGTTTTTATCCACTTTTTGTCTGTTTCCACATTTATATTAAAAGATATCTTAATTTCATGATGCAAAATTAATATTAGATGTAAATGTATTATAACCTTATGGAATATAGGTCAGACACATCAATTTACTTAATCTGAAATGTCTTTGTCAAGGGTTTTACTCGACGCAGAAAGTACGTCCTTTTATAGTAAATGGATAAAATTGACGCGGGTAAAACTATGTACAGTGTCCCGAGTGACCAACAATGACAATCAGTGTGCAAAATTCTTGAGAAAAAGTATGAAGGCCCTCTATTTGAAGTATCTATTTAATTAATTATTAAATCTTATAGTGCAGTACCCTGCAACATTAGATTTCTTCACAGGATCTTAATATTTCCAATAAGGACCGTTGAAATTTGTAATAGGGTATCCTCAGGACCTAAAGATATGTACAAATATCGTAACAGCCCTGCTTGACAACAGCGGATATGGTCTAAGCCTCAAACAAGGCACGGAAGCATTCCCAGCAGAAGGTCAAGGTCGTGAGCATTTCGGATAACAGGGTCCGCTCAAGCGCAATTTTACTGTATACGACTTAGCATGAACTTGTAATTATGCACATATATTTTCTACTCTTGTTTCTTTGCAGCCTGAAAATGGTGACAAATCCAAGCAAGATGCAGCTTCAGTACAGAGAACGGAACATTCCACTGGGACGACGTCATACGACAAAGTATCAGATGAAACAAGACTCCGAGAGGTCATCGACAAATTTGTAAAAGGATGGGACTTCCACCAAAATACTGGCGCAACAAAAACCAGGCCCACGCGTTCCAAAAGATGGGCAGAGTCGGAGAAGAGGCCCAGTTATTACTACAGCTCCTACATGCCTACCAGATACGACAACCAGAGATGGCGGTATCCTAGCAACCTGATGGCAATACTACGTGGTGCCAAGCGAAGCTGGGTGGAGGAGCCCAGGCCGAGTAACGATCGTTGGGCGTATCCTAGCAACCTGATGGCGTTGCTGAGGGGGAAGAAAAGCGCCATGTACGAACCAGAGGACACGGATGATGTTGAAGGAGAGGCTGTGCAGAACGTGATGGACCGCCTTGCGGATGGATGGCAGTACTTTGTTGAGCACTACGTCCCGGAGGAGAGTTCCAAAAGATCTTCTGGATGGGACAATGATCAGAGAACCGGGAACTCAAGAAATTTTAGGCCATATGGTGCACGTCAGTTCTTGGTGCTGAACGGAGGAAGGTATATCATTGGTTGAAGGTCAAGTGACTATCATACATTGAAGTACAATCTGCTGAAACATACCCAGATCATACAAATGCAGGTCAAACGAAAAACATAAACGTTGTGTAAGCTTGCACAATAGTGTGATTACAATGCACATTATCACAGCACTGGGGACATTGTATCGACTGTCAACATGTATCTGAGTGAACTCTCAACGTTTTTTAATATATTTTGCGAAGGAAATATTCCAGATTCTTTCTCATGAGCAACTATGGTACATCGGTGTCTTCTGCTTCATCTCTTGGATGACGTCATCTTGTTCTTGCTATTTCAACTACTGGTGCTATGACGAGGCTCATTTTTGTGACTGTGGGTTTCTTTATTTTCTCTTGGATTTGGCTTAAGTAGCTCTCACCTGTTAATACATCGTCGATGTTGCTATCCATATCATTATTAAAGTGTTACTTTCACGAGATCGTTGTCATGTTGATTCCAGTGGATAGTGAATCCATCATCAGAGATGCCAAGGCGAGAATGACATAGCGATGTAGCACGCTTTCTTTGGCAGGAAAAAGCAACCGAAAAAAACGGTATGCATTAGAGTTATTTTATATATACAAAAAGAGGTCAGATTGGAACTACTTCCAGACTGTACAGAATGTCAATGCGCATTTTAGGATTTGTTGCTTTTTACAAGTACCATTAGTAAGAAATGAGAACACGTTGAATTGATTTACTGATCCACAATGTCGGGGAACTACGACAGACCAAGTTACCGATCCAACCACAATGTCACCTGTAACGACCAGGTTGGAGGGTTGTTCTCAGTCTGAATTTTCCAGGCCTGTGTGTGTCTGTGTGTGTATGTGCGTGCGTGTGCGTGTGTTGTAGGGGGAGATAAAATTTATGAACGACTTTATATCGTTATGAGGTTTAGCGCTTGAGTTCTTTGAAAGTTCAGGATCATGTATTCAAGATTCATCTGATCGTTTGCTTTTTACTTTTGTCATGTCGTGTATCAAGATAGCAGGTATTTCCTTGTCAGATAACACAGAGACAATGGACTTACATTGATCCTGAAGACCACTGCCACATCCTCCCTCTTTACAGATGAACGTATTAGTGACCATAGTACTGTGCTGACAAGCATGGATAATTTGAGATTCGGACAAATCGCATTGTACGACCTAGGCGTCACAACTGAACAAGAATGGCAGCGATCGAAGTACTCTCCGAAAGGATTGATGTTTCTGTTCACGGTCGCACAAAGGCCAGGATGAAGATATAGGTCTCATTCACATGGGCTCGAATTTCAGTAAACCTTCACAAACTAGGATGTATTCTCGCAATCACAAATTACCTGCCCTTGATTAATATTTTCAATTTGCGAATTTGGTTGGCTACGCTACAGTCCTAACGTACCGATCAGAATGCCAGTTGCAAACCAGCCTGAAATTTGGGTTGGCAACATCATCAGCGTAGCGGCCAACTCCATTGACCTTGACATAGTTTACATGAAAATTCAGCTGAAAAACTGGCTGACTCAAAATGGAAAACCCCGAAAAATGTTTTTGAATGGATACCTTCATGTCCAGGAATACGGTGGCTTTGTTTCCTAGGTATAACGAGTTACCTACCTTATTCTTTCCCTTTTCTTTGTCCCCCGTGAAGGTCCGGGTTGGAATGAACCTTCAGTAACCCATGTTTGTCGTAAGAGGCGACTAACGGGATTGGGTGGTCAGGCTCTTGCTGGCTTGGTTGACACATGTCATTGGTTCCCAATTGCGCAGATCGATGCTCATGCTGTTGATCATGGATTGTCTGGTCCAGAGTCGATTTTTTACAGACCGCCGCCATATAGATGGAATATTGCTGAGCGCGGCGTAAAACTAAATTCACTCACTCACTCACTCACTCACCTTTTCCTTGTGTCTTCATTTTATTGGTAGGTAAAATCTTCGTGAAAATCAAATGCTTGTAATTAGCGATCGCTGGAACCACGGGAATGGATACGGGGTTAGAGTAGGTTTACAAAATGCTAGATATAGGGGAATAACAGATCATCTACATACCCATGACCGAAAGATCCACATCTCAAAGTTTCGTTGTGAACACAGCAAAATCGACAGGGTCCGTAAATAATGGAGTCTGGACAGATGCGGACATCATAAGCATTAACCTGCGTATGGGGGATTCGATTCGATGACATATCATCAACCATGACCCGATCTGCTAGCACTCTTTTCTGACATGCATCTTTGAGCAGAAAGCCACCGGATAACGACTAGTATTTGTTGCTGGGGACCTCTTTTCTTCCTCCGGTTTTATATGACTCTTGCGAGCCTGGTACCCTCTTTCCAGTTTACAGAAGAAAGACAAGAAGGCGGTCGTCACATGGCTCCAGTACAAACACAGCCATAGTTCCTATGTGTTGACTTTTACGCCAACGCGACAGATGGACAAGTACTGACCAGTCAAGACCATGCTTATACGATGTCTTTTGTATTGGATGGTTCGTGAAGTAGAACCTTCATGTATATTTCAAACGTGTTGAGGAAAACTTTCAAGCATTGAACAAAAGCATATAAAGTAGGAAGCATCAGCTGAAGCTGCCCTGGATCTTATTTCAAAATCATTTCAAATCTACTGGACGACCGCATGTTATAATACAGTTTCTGTCAGTCTATCCACTGATTGGGCGGTGGGGTAGCCTAGTGGTAAAAGCGTTCGCATGTCACGCTGAAGACCCGGGTTCGATTCCCCCACATGGGTACACTGTGTGAAGCCCATGTCTGGTGTCCCCGCCGTGATACTGCTGGAATTTTGCTCAAAGCGGCGTAAAACTAAACTCGTTCACTCACTATCCAGTGATTGATATCATGAGCAATAATTATAATAATGTTACCTTTCCTGATCACTTGAAACATTTAGGTGATTACTACACAAAGCACTCCTATGTTGCACAGAATGGCCAAAATATCTGGAGGAAATACGGTATTCTTCAAATTCCTTAGTCGATCACATTTGCTGTGGCACAGGAAAACTCTTTTTAAGTTAATTTATTTTCAAATAGTATTTTTTGTAATTGCTTAATGGTAGGTGGTCGATGTTCTATTAACAACACAACGACCTTCTAACCAACTTAATTCAGTATTATAAAAGTATTTGGAATCAAATTTAAATGCCTCCTTGTGTGCTCAGTACGAGGCTCGAGCTATGTAAGTGCAACAACAATTTTGGGGGAAAAAGCACAGTCTTTAGGCCGAGAATTATGGAATACTGTAAGTGACATTCTCGCGATCTCGCATTTTCACGATCTCGACCTTTGGAAACAAGCTAAAAATGCCAAAAGTGCGAGGATGCGACATCGCGAGAATGTCCCTTACAGTATTCCATAGAGAATGGATTTTTAACGACATAATTCTTCATTAAATAAATCCTTGGCTTAATGTGCACATCAGTTTTCCAATTTTGGGAGTAATATCTTTTGGATTCTGGGAATGTTTACTCTCACAAAAATTAGTTTCTGTTTCAAAATGAATTGATTTATACACCCCTGCCACAGCAGAATAAGGTATTGGTTGGTCATTAGACTGATTACTCATCTCACTGTTGCCAATGCCAGGGCCGCAGTGGTTAAGTAGATAGAACGAGCACGCCGACTCTGATTGAGGGTGAGTTTGGTTTTACGCCGCTTTTAGCAATATTCCAGCAACATCACGGCGGGGGACACCAGAAATGGTCTTCACACATTGTACCCATGTGGGGATTCGAACCTGGGTCTTCGGCGTGACGAGCCAACGCTTTAACCACTGGGCTACCCCACCGTCCCCGGAAGAAGAAGAAGAAGAAGAAAACGTGCTGTCGGTCAATTCAGAGCAGCTCGGTTTGGGTCGTGCATACATTTAGGGGCGGATACAGCTTTTTGAGAAATAGTCATTTAATAAAGTTTCAAGGCAAAAGGGGTCGTGCTCATTCCTCCTCCCCCCTCCCCCCATCTGGATCCTCCTATGTAATACAGACCCTGAGTATGAGTCCAGATTACAGGATATTATATGAAATCTTTTACTTTAATAACAGAAGGATGTGGCACTGAGAAATCATCGATCACACTCAGAGAACGGAACGATACTATATATATGTTCTAACCACCAGTTAAATCGCAATTTCGCCCCACAACCATATCTTGAGACAGTCGGCATTTCTTTCCCCATTACCTCAGTCGTTACGATGAAAGTTTAAATCAAATTACAGATACATGACATAGTCGTAAATTAGATCCAATTCTATTGATTTCGACCTTAACCTAACCCTGGCGTCGTCTCTGTTGACATTTGAAAATCAACTTTCAATTATGTTTCTAAAATTTGTTTAATTTGAAAGAGAATTTAGAATTGCGTCTGAGAAAATCAATCTGCAAGTATCCTGTAATTTAAGATAGAGACGACTCATGTTCTGTGCAACTGAAGCTGCAGAAACTGCGGATTCGATTTCAAAGATGATTAGACTTGAGAAATGGGCGAAATAGCAAGTGTGTTTCAGTTCGCTTAAACGTCAGTTTTGAGTGTTATTGTTTTCTTCAAAAGTACAGTTAATTTTAACCGTAACTGCATAGAGAGAACGTCAGGTGTATGCACGTCTGATAAAAACGTCTTGAATATGACGGAAGTGGGCACTTTCCCGAGAATGTAACAGAAACTCGCCCATTTACAGTCATACTGATAAGGGTGACTGACTATGGCTTTCCGCCGCAGGTGAGAGAGTGAATGAGTGAGTTTAGTTTTACGCCGCTTTTAGCAATATTCCAGCAATATCACGGCTATGGACATCAGAAATGGGCTTCACATATTGTACCTATGTGGGGAATAGAACCGGGTCTTTGGCGTGACAAGCGGACGCTTTAACCACTAGACTACCCCACCGCCCCTAAATTGATAAGAGTGAGCGTGAAGTGAAGTGTGATAAATAGTCTGTCTGTCCCTGAAACGCATTATTTCCTGTTCTGTCCAGTCCTTTATGCAATGCTGAAGCCCTGAATGAAACAAGTCGAGATTTCTTCAGATACTGCATCTCCCTTCTCACTGGGGCTCTTTTTCGAATTAAAAGGCACTGTTTGTTTCTAACAAAATTATATACACCCAGAGACTAAGCTACCCCACCGCCAGAGACTGAGCTACCCTACCGCCAGAGACTAAGCTACCCCACCGCCAGAGACTAAGCTACCCCACCGCCAGAGACTATGGAACCCCTTCGCCCTCTGTGTGATGACTGACTGAGTGAGTATGGTTTTACGCCGCTTTTAGCAATATTCCAGCAACATCACGGCAGGGGACACCAGAAATGGGCTTCACACATTGTACCCATGTGGGGATTCGAATCCGGGTCTTCGGCGTGACGAGCCAACGCTTTAACCACTAGGCTACCCCACCGCCCCCTGTGTGATGAGGTCAAATGGAAAGGGAGGTCAGGG